CCGCAGAAACATGCCCCTCGGTCAGTTGGCCGTGTTATAACCTCCACAAAGGATTTGTACCTGACAGTTTAAGGCAGAAGTTACGTTTTCTCTCTGGGTTGTGGGGCTCAATGCTGGCCTGGTGCTCAATGCGTTTCTTCGTAGCAGTGATTGCGCCTGATTTACCTTCTGAGTTATTTTTAGGGAGAGAGGAGGAGAATACGCCCTTGGTAATTGGTTGTTAGTGATTCGTTGCGGGTCAACTGCTAAGGTCATTAGTACCGTAAGTGTAGTGCAAATTTGTTCATGAGAAGGTGGCGGTAATCTTACCCGGTGGATGGCGAGATCCGTCCCCCTCGGCGACGGAGCCTAGTGGGGATTTCCCCATCCAGGTATCTCCCACCAGCGGAGCACCGCTCCCGTCGGGACAAGCTCTTAGCTCTCCCGGCATGTGTGGTAGTGTAGTGCAAGTGTGTGTAAGTAAGGTATAAGTGCTCTGGTAGCCAGAGTGCAATATTTCAAATGTGATGTTCAGAAAGTTAGTTTTAAATGTGAACGATGCTGAGTTCAAAGTGATATTACACATTCAAAGAATGTGTAAATAAAGTACCCGCAGAACATTGTTAATAGGAATCCGGGTTTCCGATTTTAAGCTATTACATATGATTTCATTATTTGGAGTACATTCTCCCCAAAATATTTACTCTCCCACACCATTATGCTGTTTTGATGCCCGAAACTACGAACATACCCAGTACAGAGAACATGTTATTACTTTTCGTTCATGAAATCTGTTCTATATAAATATTTCTAGTAATGTAATTGAAAACCTTATGAATTTTTAGAATTCATAATGAAATTGATCGACCTTTTTAAGCATTGTAAACGTTACGTTCAGTTGCGGGGCTGGCGGTGTATGTCTACATGACTAGCATGTTAACTCCAAGAACCTGAGCGCGAAGCCCAATGCGTAGGAGCTTTGGTTGGAAATTATTTTGCAGATGCATTTAGTATAATGCAGTAGTATAATATTACGTAACAATACAAATAATGCGTAAAAGTATATGATGTAATAGCATCACTAGTGTCCCAATTAATATTTTCGGAAATTTCATTTAACGAAGTTATACACATGACGTTTGCGCCTGATTGGCAGGCATCCCATCATGCGTTGGTGCTTCACAGGTCACGGTCTACTTGACAGGCGAAGAGAGATCGTATTACCCGCCAATCACCCTAATATGGAGGGTGCCTACAAATCAGGGGCACATAACACATGCATGCCTTCGTTTTATGAAATTTCCCACCACATGTTCATTATTATCATAGACATCTAAATGGAAAAGTTCATGTGAATAATTTTCAGGTTGCAAAACATTAATCCCAGGGGTCAAAAAGTCTCAAAACAGAGCCTAAAGGGTAAGATAATGTTTCATTTACAAATATTTCGGTGTTCATGTCGATTTAAAAAAATCGTCAGTAATAAATGTATGTAAAAAAAACATCGGCTTGAATATATGAATATTAAATTGGCTTTGATCCACCGATGTTAAAAATATCTCCTTTCATATATAGATGCCAAAAATATCGCCTTCAATTTATCGATGTTAAAAACAGCCTTAAATACACGAATGTAAAAAAATATAATTTAATTTATGGAAGTTTAAACCTTGAATGTTGCTTTAAAAGCATCGATGTTTTGAAAGCGTCCACATGTATGCCGCAACCCTAGTAGGAGGGACGGCCCTGTCGATGTCGACTGTCCGTGTGAGTGTGTGTGTGTGGGTGCGCAGTTCCTGGTGGACCTGGACGGGGAGCCGCTGGAGATGCGCATGCCGTTGTGGCTGGGCACGCTGCCGCTGCTGCGGGACTTCGCCGCGCTTCGGCCGGCGGCAGAGCCCGACCGCGAGGCGCATCCTCGCGTCGCCTTCCCGCAGACCACGCTCGCCAAGTACCACGAACTGCGTGAGTACCCCCACCCCCACCCCA